GGATCCTGTGTCCTCAAAAACCTGGCACCTGCCACTTAAGGGATTTTACTCAGGCTAGTGGCATTGGTCTGCCAAGTCAGCTTACAGGGGTCTGGTGTTCTTCCAGCAGAAGCGCAGGTATCCTATAATTGGCCCAGCAGGCACATCCAGAGTAAGGTAGGTAATGTAAATTGTGAAGGTCAGCATGAGCACATAGATCAGAAACCACATGGAAAACATGAAACATGGTAGGCTGAAGGTGAAGCTAGATCAGTTGCTGTATTCTGAGTGTGTTTCTTGCCTTATGCAAATGTTTCTTTCTGGTTACCCTGAGTCCAGGATAATAGCAGAGCACCAAAGTGACCATCACCAGGACAGTGAGGATCATGATGGAAGATTTGTCTATCACCCAGCCAGGAAATGCCAGGTCCACATTCTGGTAGCTAGCGAAGGTAGTAGACATCATCATGGTTGTCCTGTGTCCACTGATGAGAGAATAGGTTGCCAGAAAAGAGGGGTGGTGAGATAGGGTGGTTAGATGGGGCGCTGCTAGAGGTCTCTGGGGCTGATGAGATCACAACTGCTCTCTGGGGCCAGCCAAAGTGTTGTCTTCCTCAGGAAGGCAAACGGTGGATGTCTACTCTAGGTACATTCTGCATTAACTGAGCTTCAGAGGTCTTGTCCCTTGTGATGTGGAACACCTTCCCTAAAAAGACTATCCCTAGAAAAACCCTTCCTAAAGAGATTCTCCCTCCTTCAGCTTATTCCTTCACACCCTTTGCCTGGCATCAAATGAAAGGAAAAGCAGAATCCAAATATAAACTTCATCAGGAACTCCTGGAACCTTCTCCCTGGCTAAATTTTCTAATTTTATACTTAATAACTGGATATATACTTGATAACTTGGGCTGGAGCAATAGCACAGCGGTAGAGCGTTTGCCTTGTATGTAGCCAACATGGCCGACCTGAGTTCAATTCCTCCGCCCCTCTCAGAGAGCCCAGCAAGCTGCCGAGAGTATCTCGCCTGCATGGCAGAGCCTGGCAAGCTACCCGTGATGTATTCGATATGCCAAACACAGTAACAACAAAGTCTCCAATGGAGACGTCACTGGACCCGCTCAAGCAAATTGATGAACAACGGGAGAACAGTGAACAGTGACAGTGATACTTGATAATAACCCCACTTAAAAAAATTATAAGGATTCAGAGATTGGCTTAAACACTGCCAAATCAGTAGAAAGTCACCCATGGAACATGGAAAAACACCAATCCCAAAACACACAATACCACTATGGACAAAGTTAACAAACATAAATTCCATAACCTGGGTTGATGGTATGAGGGGCATCAGCAGATGCAAATATCTTTTCCCAACCCTGTATCTCTGCTTTCTGGAGAGAGGTGTCCTCTCTTGCTTCTTAGTCCCCTCCTTCATACAATGTTCCACAGCCTCTATAGTCCACCCATACTCTACAAATTTCAGAGGTCCAAAGAGTGTATCAGTGGTTTGGAGATGGGATTTGATATAGTTGGAACATCCTTGTAATAGAATTCATGGCTTGTGATCCCACTGCACCTATAACCTGGTCTGAAACTTCAGCTCGGATTGATTGCCCAGGGTGCCATATGCCTAGGTATGGCTACCAGTTAGGGAGTGAAAAAAAAATCCATTCACAAGCACAAATAGGCACAAATATAAAAAAGAAATAAGTTTAAAAGAACTCAAAAAAGTGGAAATAAAACTCTAATTCCTTGACCACGAAACAAATATGTTCCTCTGTCAAAACCAGACCCAGATGATTTTATTGTGAAATGTCTCTTATGCTTTGTTCACACATGGCTCTTGCATTGACAAATTTAGGAATAGCCATTGTTCTTAATTCGGATCCATATTAGAGGCAGGCACAAAGGACCCTAGAGTGGACAATGATTCAGTTATATCCTGATTTCTTGGGTCTCTCCAGCTCCTGCAGTGCATGGAACCTTGTCTTGAGAGATGAGATCTCACCAAGACACACCACTTCAATATCACTTCCATGGGCCCTTCTGGTTGCTCTAGGGTCATCAAAAAACCCCAAGTTTCTTTTCTGAGACTTAATGTAATAAGACACTGCCTGTTATCAGCCCCACCCACTAGTAAGACTCCTGTGAGCTGTTGGTCTACCCACCACCGGGCATGCATCCCCACCTGGTCCGGATTTCCCAGCTACATTATTAACTTTATCTGTTTTGTCAGCACAGCGCCTTCTTGCCAATCAAACCTAAGAAATTTGACAATATCCACACTCCAGTGCATTTTCTACCCCTGAAACAAAGACTCAATTATTATAATTGGCTGGAGCGATAGCACAGCAGGTAGGGAGTTTGCCTTGCACGCGACTGACCTGGCCAACTGAGAGTTTGATTTCCCCGCCCCTCTTGGAGAGCCTGGCAAGCTACCCAGAGTATCTCACCCATAGAGCAAAGCCTTGCAAGCTACCATGACATATTTGATATGCCAAACACAGTAACAAGTCTCACAATGTTACTGGGCCCCCTGGAACAAATCGATGAACAACGGAAGGACAGTGACAGTGACAAATCAGTCACAGTAGTAAACTTTTAAATTCACACTCTCTAGCTTGGGTTCATTTCTCAACTATGACCCGAAATCCTAATCTGAACCTTGAGTATAATTTCTCAGTACTAAACTATGACTTTTCATGGATCACCATTCTGGAGAATATATTTATTGCCATCCACAGATATGCAAAAGGTTGTAATTTTGTGAGATAATGAGGTAGCAATCCTCAGATACAACAGTAGTCATCTCCACCTAGTTTCGTGACTCCCCCTCCTTTGGTTCCCTGCACTAAATCATGCCAGGACTTGAGAGATGTAACTATCAACATGAGTCATAGATTACATTATGGTAAAAGTGGATTAAGTATTACTCCCCAGGACTTCTCTGAGATGAGATTACTTGGAGCAACAGCACAACCCAATGCCATTCCAGGCACTGTATCCAATAGGTAGTGAATATACTAAACTCAGTTATATTCAGTCCTGAGAAGCAAAGTCTATGCACAGGATACTGCATGCAGCACCACCAGGACCTATTGTTGCCAGCTTCTTTCCTTACTTTTCTCTGCAGTATCAAAAAAAAACCCTCAGAAACTTGCTTGGCAGCCCAACTATGGAAAAGGATGCCCAGAACCAAGTCCAGACAGCAACAGGCACGGAACACACTCTCATGCCGACAATATCCGATATTCAATGATAATGAAAATACACCACCACAGTAGCCACAGACTTGGTCTACTTTCACTGTGTATAGGAAAGGATTTAAAGCACTGCTCTAGAACACCACCAAAACTTTAGGGACAGTGGACTTTCCTGCCATCCACCAAGAAAATACAGTCTTCTGCACTGACTGAACCAGCACACAAATATTTTAACTGCAATTTTTATTCTGGGCTTCCTTGGAAATTACAGGGAAAGGGGGCAGCTCAGATTGCTCTGAATAGCAGAGGGTTTGGGAAGCCCATTTTGGGGGTACATTGCAGAAAGGGAAGAGAGGCAAAGGGGTGGAATAGAGGAGTCTTGTCCTATAACCAGGGAACTCTGACACATGCCATGCCAGTCAGCTTGGCCAGGTTAGTGGCAAAGATATGCCAAGTCAGGGTGCACCAACATTGTGTTCTTCCTGCACAACAGCAGGTGTCCTGACCTGGCCCCTCCCAACACAGCAGGGGGAGGTAGGAACTATATAGCATGAAGGTCAGAATGAGCACAGAGCTCAAGACCACCTGAAGGTCACACAGCATGGTCTGCACCAAGTGAGTTCAGCTCAGCAGCTGCCACCAGGGGGAGCGCCCAGCCCTGTGCAGAATTTCCTTTCCAGCCACCTTGAGTCCTTGTGATCAGGGAACCAGGCCAAGTATTCCAAGGGCAAGTAGGACCACGGCAGAGGCACTGCTCATCACCAGGTACCCACGTAAGCACATTGATTTAAACTCCACTCCACCTATTTGCCTATTTTGTAAAGGTCCTTGAAGAGCCTCAAAGCAGGACTTGGAAGGTCACTCACGGCATGAGCTGCACTGGCCCATCATGCTGTGAGAGGACTTTGACACCACTGCAAGGACTGTCGTGATTGTTTATGGGACGTTTAGAGGGCTCTGGGTCCCATCCCCATAAGGCATGTGATAACACACCTCCCTTCACCCAAACACTCCTGAGAAAGGAAGTGGATAAAGTGGGCAAAGGCATACAGCACCAGCAGCATGGCTTCAACCACCAAATATCAAAAGTGCTAGCTCAGACACACTTAGCCTTGCATCAGTAGGATGGTAAGGGAGCCTCAAATTTATACAACCTGTGGACACTCACGCTTTCACACAAGTACCAAGAATCCACCACCAATTCATCCATTCAAACTTAATTTCTATAAGACCCATAGCTCTAAATTCCTTACTGGTGAATACACATGGCCCGAGGTCAGATACCAAAAGTACTGAGTTACCGTGCATGACTTAGGAAAATAAAGGCCTACCTTTGGGTGATTCATTTGTAAAACTAAATATCTTACTTCTATTAATTAACACAAGGTGGCCTTACTACAGCCTAATCTGTGGCTTCATTGATGATCATCTCCGGTGTTGGTGGGAAGCCTAGTGGTGAGTGAGTCACCTATAACCAACATGCCAAAACAAAAAATCCTGAGTTCTACAACTTAACCTAAAATGCCAACAAACCTACCCTAAGTTGCCCCAACCAGAACTCTAGACACCTCAACCAAGAACACACACAATGCAGCCTACAATGTTGACCAAAACAAACTTGTTTTATTGCAATGTTTGGGTTCTGGGTACTCAAGGACCAGTCCCCTTAAGGCTCAAGCCCTCTTTCTGAGTAGAAGGTGGGGTGGGGGTAGGGCAGGCAGATGGGGATTGGGGATTGAAGACAGGAACCACAAGAGAGAGTGCTTCATGCCCTGGGACATGAAACCTATGGCACTTACTCTCATCAGCTTGTCCAGGTTAGTGGCAAGGATCTTCCAAGTCTGAGTCTGTGTGCATATTTTTCCTCCAACGGAAAAGCAGGTACCCCACGCTGGCCCCCACAAGCACGGTCAGGGCAAAGTAGGCATTGTAGGTCATGACGGCCAGCATGAGCACATAGCTCAGGAGCACCTGGAGGACGTGCAGCAAGGTTTGCACCAGGTGAGGCCAGCTCAGCAGCTGCCACCGGTGGCCACTCGCTGCCCTCAAGGGAAGGTTCTCTCGAGCCAGCTTGAATCCTTCAGAGCAGAGCGCCAGGATGAAGATTGCCAGGACAGCCAGGACCAAGTCGGTGGGGCTATTCATCACCAAGCCCGGAAACAGCAGCTCCACATTCTGGTAGCCAAAGTAGAAGGCGGTGGGCATCATCATGGTCATCGTGTGTGCGCTGCTGCAGGAATGCAGGGCCCACGCTTCTGAGGCCTGGTAAATTCCGGTGCTTTTGGTGGTGTCTGGGCTGAAGAGATGGCTGCCGCCTCCACTTCTGGATGCAGATGACTGGAGGCAGCAAAGGAGGGTCTTCTGAATGCAGGGAGCAGTTGATCCCGGTCTGATGCTCAGGTCTCCTCTGCTGCCTTGCCACTGAGCATCAGACTCCACCACTTCAAATTTTATGCACACAGGCTTGGAACCCTCCCTATAAAGACCCTTCCTACAAGACCCTCCCTGAACTAATCTCTTCATATCCCATTTTATTTTATTTTATTTATTTATTTACTTAGTTATTTTTTATTGAATCACCATGAGCACAATTGAAAAAACATTCACAGAATGATCAAACACCCCTCACTCCACGAATGTATATTTTTCACCACCAATGTCCTCAGTAACCCTCACCCTTACACTTATCACACCCCTCCCCCTGCTTCTAGGGCAGACAGTTTCCATCTTACTTTCTCTCTACTTATGGGCCTTATAGTTTGCAATACAGATACTGAGAGGCCATCATGATTCGACTTTTATCTACTTTCAGCACTCATCTCCCTTTCCAAGCGATCCCTCCAACTATCATTGAATTAGTCACCCTTCACTATCCCAGCTGCTTTCTCCCCAGTTGTTAGGGCAGGCTTCCAACCATGGGAAAATCTACCTGGCCCTTGTCTCTGCCATCCTTGGGAGTTAGTCTCATGTTATATTATCTTATATTCCACATATGCACACTCCAGTGTTTAACTTGAAAACCTCTGAGGGGAAAACAAAGCCATAACTGGGTCACAAACACACCTTAATAAAAGGAGCGACCCAGGAAATTCCACCTACCACAGGCTGCCCTTTTTCTGACTCCTGGGAATATTCTTTCTCCAGGAACCACACACTTTTGGGGTTCAGAGAGCCTAAATAATGCTGGATTATTCAAAAAAATTAAAAATGAAAACCTACTAACCCATAACCACTCATCCCAAATTAGTCAAAGTTGACTATCAATTTATTTCCCTTAGCTGGACTGAGGGCTCCAGGTCAATCAGAAAAGCTGTAGGTATTTTCACCACAGTAGCCCAGTGATACCTGAGAGATAAATCTTCCCTTCTCACCCAACCTCCCTATCTAGCTTCAGTATGCCACACCCCATAGAGCCTTACCTAAATCATTTTTTTAATTAAAAATTTAATCCAACTTAGGATGTTAGTAAGAAAGGAAGTGTATAAAGTGGGCAGAGGCATACAGCACCCACAGCGTGACTCTCAACCACACCCCAATAAAAGTGCTACCTCAGTCACAGTTAGTCTTGCATCTATAGGTTGATAAGGCAGCCTCACACTTAATACAACCGGTGTACACTCACACTTTCACACAGGTACGCAACTCCCCCACCCTATTCCATCCGTTCAAGCTTAAATTTCTACATAAGGTCCATAGCTCTAATTTCCTTACTCATGAATAGCTATGACCTCAGGTCAGATACCAACAGCTTTGTGTTACCATCCGTGATTTATGGAAATAAAAATCTAACTAAAGTGATTCATTTGTAAAAAAAAAATCATTTATTTATTTTATTTTTTAATAAATATTAAAAAATAAAACATTAATTTATTCTAATTAACACAGGGTAGATTTATTCAGACAAACCTGTGGCTTCACTGATGATTATCTATGGTGTTGGTAGGGAAGCCCAGTCGTGAGTCAGTCACCTATAACCAATTTCCAAGATGAACCCTCCTTGATTCAAAACCTTAATTTTTTATATTGTATTGTATTTTTTAATTAATTTTATTGATTTACTGTGAAATATAGTTACAAACTTTCAGGTTTCAGATTAAAGCACACAATGATCCAATGCCTATCCCTCCACCAGTGCACACATTTTCCACCACCAATGTCCCCTGTATACCCCCACATTTCCTACCCTTCCACTGCCTCCATGGCAGACAATATTCTCCATACTCTCTCTCTCTACTTTTGGGAATTATGGTTTGCAATACAGATACTGAGAAGTTATAATGTTTGGTCCTTTTCCTACTTTGGGCACATGTCTAACATCCCAACGGATTCATCCGGACATCATTTTCTTAGTGATCCCATCTCTATTCGAGCTGTTCTCTCCCGGCTCGCTCATGAGGCAGGCTTCCAATTATGGAGCAACCATCCTGACCATTATATCTACTGTCCTTGTGTCTATACCTTAACTTAAATGCCAAAAAGCCTGCCCTGAGTAGCCCAAATGAGCATTATAGACACCTCTACGGAGAACAGACACAAGGTAGCCTCCAGTGGTGAGCAAAACAACCTCTTTTATTGCGATGTTTGGATTCTGGGTACCCAAGGGCCAGTTCCCTTAAGATCATGCCCAATTTCTCAGAAGAGAGAGGCGGTGGGGGTAGGGCAGATGGGGAATGGGGATTGAAGACAGGAGCCACAAGAGAGAGTGCTTTGCGCCCTCAGACAAGAAACCTCCAGCACTCACTCTCATCAGCCTGTCCGGGTTAGTGGCAAGGACCTTCCAAGTCTGGGTCCACGTGCATGGTTTTCTTCCAGCGGAAAAGCAGATACCCCACGCTGGACCCCAGCAGCACGGCCAGCGCAAAGTAGGCATTGTAGGTCATGACGGTCAGCATGAGCACATAGGTCAGGAGCACCTGGAGGACGTGCAGCAAGGTTTGCACCAGGTGAGGCCAGCTCAGCAGCTGCCACCGCTGGCCACTCGCTGCCCTCAAGGGAAGGTTCTCTCGAGCCAGCTTGAGTCCTTCAGAGCAGACTGCCAGGATGAAGATCGCCAGGACAGCCAGGACCATGTCCGTGGGGCTGTTCATCACCACGCCCGGAAACAGCAGCTCCACATTCTGGTAGCCAAAGTAGAAGGCGGTGGGCATCATCATGGTCGGCGTGTGTGAGTTGCTGCAGGAATGCGGGGCCCCCGCGTTTGAGTGCTGGTAAACTCAGGCGCTCCTGTCAGTGTCTGGGCTGAAGAGATGGCCGCCGCGTTCACTTCTGGATGCAGATGACTGCAGGTAGCAAAGGAGTGTCTTCTGAATGCAGGAAGCAGCTGACCCCGGTCTGATACTCAGGTTTCCTCTTCTCCTCTGCTGCCTTGCCACTGAGCTTCAGACTCCACATTTTATGCACGCAGGCATGGGACCCTCCCTACAAAGACTCTTCCCACAAGACCCTCCCTAAACAGATACACCCTCAGCCAATCTCTTCACACATCACACAGGTAGGGGACCCTCCCTATAAAGATCCTTCCTACAAGACCCTCCATGAACAGATATCACCTCAGCTAATGTCTTCACACTCCAGTTTTATTTATTTATTAATTAAATAATTTATTTATTTATTTACTTAGTTATTTCATATGGAATCAACATGATCACAGTTAAAAAACATTCACAGAATGATCAAACACCCCTCACTCCACCAATGTATATTTTTCACCATCAGTGTCCTCGGTATCCCTCACCTTCACCCTCATCTCACCCCTCCCCCTGCTTCTACGGCAGACAATGTCCCTCATACTTTCTCTTTACTTATGGGCCTTGGAGTTTGCAATGCAGGTATTGAGAGGCCATCAGGATTCGTCTTTTATCCACTTTCAGCACTCATCTCTGACTCCAAGGGATCCCTCCACCTATCATTGACTTGGTGATCCTTCAAAATCCCAGCTGCTTTCTCCCCAGCTGTTAGGGCAGGCTTCCAACCATGGGAAAATCTACCCGGCCCTTGTCTCTGCCATCCTTTGGAGTTATTCTCATTTTGTATTAGCTTATATTCCACATATGCACATTCCAGTGTTTAACTTGAAAACCTCTGAGGGGAAAACAAAGCCAAAACGGGGTCATAAACACACCTTTTAAGGAGTCACCCAGGAAATCCCACCTGCCACTTATGCCCTTTTTCTGCCTCCCAGGAATAATTTTTCTCCAGTCACCACACACTTTGGGGGTTCAGAGAGCCTCTATATTGCCAGATTATAGAAAAGTAAAAACATTGAAAAACAAAATACTGGGATCCGTGGTGGTGGGAAATGGGCACTGGTGGAGGGATGGGTATTTGATCATTTTATAGTTGAGACCCAAGCGCAAAAATTTGTAAGTCTGCAACTGTACCTCATGATGTCTAAAGAATAAAAAAAAAAATCCCAATACCCCAGAACCACCCACCCCAAATTAGTTAAAGTTGACTTCCAATTTATTTCCCAAGCTGGGCTGAGGGATCCAGGCCGATCAGAAGGCCTGTACGTATTTTCACCACAGTAGCCCAAGGACACCTGAGAGATAAACCTTCCTTCTCACCCAACCGCTCTATCTAGCTTCAGTATGCCACACCCCATAGAGCCCTACATAAATCATTTAGTTTTGAAAATTAGCAGCGAAATACAACTTAGGATGTTAGCAAGAAAGGAAGTGAATAAAGTGGGCAGAGGCATACAGCACCCACAGCATGGCTCCCAACCACACCCCAATCAAAATCTCTAGCTCAGTCCCACTCAGTCTTGCATCCATAGGTTGGTAAGGCAGCCCCATACCTTATACAACCTGTGTACACCCACACTTTTGCACAGGTACGCAATTCCCCCACCCCAATCCATCCATTCAAACTTAATTTCTTCAAGAAGCCCCATAGCTCTAATTTACTTACCTGCTAATACATATGACCTAAGGTGAGATACCAAAAGTACTGGATGACCGTCCATGATTTTTGGAAATAAAAATCTACCTAGGGTGATTCATTTGTAAAAGGAATTATTCATTTTAATATTTGAATAAATAAATGAATATTAAAAATAAACCACTGATTTTAATTAACACAGGGTAGTTTAATTCAGGCAAACCCGTGGCTTCACTGATGATCATCTATGGTGTTGGTGGGGAAGTCTAGTGGTGTGTGAATCACCAATAACCAACTTGCCAAGATGAATCCCCTGGGTTCTACATCTTCACTTT